GTGAAAAGAAAAACTGTCACTTAGAGTGTGTGAAGGCGAAGGGGTTTAGAGTTATTGTTTCCTATTCTTTTAAAAAAAAAATTCATTCCCTATCTTCGTCATCCTTAGCTCTTTTCCTTTCTCTTATTAACTTTGAAAATTTAAAATTCAGAGCATTTTATTCAGTCATAGGCTGTTGTACCATTAATAAGAATTTTACTCTCAGGATAAGCCATCTGCATCATCACGTGATGAAGCCTATTCTCAACACCGAGAGGATAAATATCTTGGAGCGAAGGGTTCCTTCTCACAGGGACGACATGCTAGTCCTGACGAATTTTATCCTGAAAAGTCCAAAATGAATGATAAAAATGCAGAGCCTAGTGAAGTGTTATGGATAGGATTTCCAGCTTTGTTAAAAGTGGATGAAGTGATATTAAGGAGGGCCTTTTCACCATTTGGGGAAATTGATAAGATTACAACGTTCCCTGGTCGGACGTATGCTTTTGTTCGTTTTCGGGGCGTGACATCAGCTTGGAGGGCAAAAGAAACACTACAGGGGAAACTATTTGGAAATCCCCGAGTACATATTTGTTTCGCAAAAAGTGATTCTGGATCATCAAACAGTGGAAGGAACTCAATGAATGTACCTCTTTCTCCAAGATCTCCTCACCTTTTCTCAAACTTCGATTCTGGAGAATTTGATTCCCGTGGTTTTAATAGGAAAAGCAATTTATTGACCAGTGGAAACAATGCATTTGAAATGAAGAGGTCTGGAGAATTCTCATCCAAATTAGGTCCATCCGAAGATAGGTATGAACATTATGGTAGCCCGACAAAAGAGAGAGGTCTTCATTTAAATAACTTCCCTCAAAGATTTTCTCAACCTAGTCCATTTTATGACGATCCATGGGACTTGCCAGAGGATACGAACGTATATCCCGGGTCCAAGAAATTGAAGACTGGACCCTTTCCCCAGGATAAAGAGCTCCCTGAGTATCCTATATCTGATTTGGAACAAGATAAACGTATTATTCCAAAGTTATACCCTGATTTTCCCCGATCAGAAGCCTTTGATCATAAGATGAAGTCTGGGCCGCCTCTGGGTTATAAACAGCCTGATCAGCCTATGACAATGCCTGACCCTTATGGAGAAAAGAGTGAACACTGGAGGGAACCGTATGATAATTTTCAGGGTCCTGATTCTCTGCCATCGAATGCTGTTGCAAGGAAAAGGCTCTCACCTGATCCAGAACAGTCGTCTATAAAAGAGTGGAAATGGGAAGGAACTATTGCAAAGGGAGGAACACCTGTTTGTCGTGCCCGCTGTTTTCCTGTGGGAAAGGTTCTGGATATGCTTTTGTAAGTATTTGATATTCCTTTTAATTTTTGTTCCCATTAAAATCATTTTTTATCAAGTGCTGAAAAAATTATAATGCTGATTTTACCTGTTCTCATTTAACCTCAAGGCCATTAACAAGAATCTGATCCACATCCCTTCCTCTTCCTGTTTGATGCACTTCTTTCCACTTTAATCCTATCTTAATTTTGCTTTTCATCGGGCAGTGTTGTTTTTCCATGAAAGGTATATTTAGGGAGTGACATGGCAGTGGAAGATTTCATTTTCTTTCTGTTTATGATATTTTTGTTTGGGCAGGTTTTAATGTTTCATTTGACTTTAAAAAATGCTTTATTTGAGCTTGGGAGATGAAGCATGTAGGAAACTGTTAATTTTTGTTATTCTGGCCTCTATTATTAGTGAAGATCTGGTTAAATGATTTAATTACCTTGCAATAATTTGTACTTTCACGGTAGTTGTAGTTTTGAAGTCTCCAAGTTTTTTCTCATTGACAAGAAGAAACTTTTCAGAAGATTTTCTTCAAAAAATGTATTCTGATGATTTCTTTCAAAAATTTCCTTCAGTTTGATGCTATCAGATTTGGTTCTGCTGGTATTTGGTTCTTGTCCTCTCTTTAAGTTTCATGGAATTCTGGATTGTTCATTGTAAATTGTGTGCGAATGATTGGAAGGGAAAACTTTCTCTCGCCTTCTAAAAAAGTTCTATTAAAACCCATATAGATCACTGGTGAAACTGAACTCGTATTCTGCAGGCCTGAGTTCTTAGACTGTACGGCAAGAACTGGTTTAGACATGCTTTCAAAGCATTACTATGAAGCAGCTAGTGCTTGGGTTGTTTTCTTTGTGCCTGAAAGCGATTCTGATATCGTGTTCTACAATGAATTCATGAACTATCTCGGCGAAAAGCAACGAGCAGCTGTTTCGAAGTTGGATGACAGAACCACCTTGTTTCTTGTACCACCATCTGAGTTCTCAGAAAAAGTGCTCAAAGTACCAGGTAAATTGAGCATTTCAGGGGTAATTCTGAGGTTAGAGCGTCCTGGTACCAGTGCAAGGCCTCCACCTTATCAAAACGAAACAAAGGACACAAATTTTTTACCTTTACATAGTGAAACATCATATACAAAACTACCGCCGTCTCCAGCTGTTTTTACCCCAATACCACCATCTTTATCTGATCTCAGTAAATCAGGAATCAATAATACATCATTCCCCAGGAACGTTGCTACTTCTGCTTCTCCTGTGTTATTTCATGGTTCATCACAATCTGTTGGAAATTTGTCTGACCCATATGTTGAGTGCAGGCCTGATTATCCAATTCAAGAACAGCTAAATGCCATGGGACCGAGCTCGTCTTCTCACCATCTACAGAATTCAATGGTCGATTTTCGAAATTTTCAGTCACAAGCTTCCAACAAGGATCCTGTTATTCAGGAACGCCCTTTGTTCATTCCAAGGGAAATTCAGGAAACAGGTTACAGTAATTACGCAGTTGGGATTTCTAGTGTTACAACTCAACAAGAAACAAAACCAGCAGCTTCTTTGGCAACTACTCTTTCCTCCCTACCGCCCGACCAACTGGCGCAATTAGCATCCTCTCTCCTTGGACATCAAAGGCAGTCGGGGAGCACGCCGAATGCAGCATTGCATGAAGAATTAAGGCAGCGAAACCAGGTGAATGAATCTGTTGTACAATTGGCAAGGTCCCAAAATGGTTCTTTTCAGAATAATCTGATGAACTCTGAGCCTCAGACATCTCAGTTTGTTCAAGTTCCACAGATGCATCATGTACAACAACACCAGATGTCGAATCAGATGTCGAACGTGCCAGCTGGGCAAAGAGAGATTCAGACAGGGGCTTTAGGCAATAATCAACAGGTTCAAAACTCTGATGTAGGTGGAGAATCAGAACCAGATCCACAGAAACGCCTGCAAGCGACGCTTCAGCTTGCAGCTGCTCTTCTCCAGCAAATTCATCAAGGAAAAGGAAGTTGATCTGGCTCGTTTGATCGTGTAAAACAAACTAATATGGAGTTCAGCAAGTATGGGATGGATAGCCATCCTACAGACGGTGTGAAGAAATTAACAGATTCTAAGGGAGAGATGAGCATCATCAGCCACTTGCCAGAAGTAATATTTGTTATCCTAAGTAACATGTCCTTTTATTAAAGCCTGTTTATAAGATGTTGATTAGCTAGCTAGTTAGTATCCACAGCTGCCACTGCTTTAATGCTATTAGAAACAGGAGCCATTTGTGGTTGTAATGCCGTTTTGCTTCAAGTCTTGACATTTTGTTGGTCCTTATCTTGTTGTACCTTAGTTATACTACTTGGGATAAGAGTTCCATTTCCTTGGTTCTGCTGGAATCCATGCCAAGATTGCCACAGTTAATAGATGAGAAGTGGAAGTTCTAGGGAGAATTGGAATTCCAAAGTAATAATAACAAGGCGAGTACTCAGACTATAGAGTATGTAGGTTGAGTTGAGTTGGGTTGAAAAACTCTTTTAGATTAGTCTAAAATTTTGGGTTGGTGACTCGTCGTCAAGTCCAAATTTCCTTTGGAACCCTAACTTTCAAGGTTGAGACTTGAGGCGCTGTTGGGCCCTTCAACAAGTCTATTTGTGATGCTCGTGTCTACTCGATCTCCATATCTTGCTTATGCTTCATTTCCTCTTCAATGCATTTGTTATATAGTGTGTTGGATGATGCATATCTTCCTCAATTGTATCATAACATCCTTCTATATTGGCTCTTGCATGGTCGAATGGACGTCTCTTGAGAGTCGTCGCTTTGTTTGACTCAATGTGAGGGTCACCACTTTGTTCGACTCAATGGAGGGTCACCACTTTGTTCGACTCAATGGAGGGTCACCACTTTGTTCCACTCAATGTGAGGGTCATCGTTTTGTTCAACTCAATGTGAGAGTCACAACCAATTTACTCTCTTTATAGTATAGTTGTGACATTCTCCCCCCACTTAAATTCGACGTCATTTCTGATGATTTTCTCAAAGCACAATTCCAAATAGAATTTATTATTCAACCCAAAAAATTCTACCCAAGTATACATGTTATATTAATTAATTTTTTAAAAAATCATATTTATTTGGTTGTTTTTTTCTAATAATTTAAAAAGGTCATATTAAAATAATAATTAAAAAAAAAAACCATGGAGCGAGTTGAGTTATTAAGTTTTTTTTTATAATTATTTTAAAAAATCATACTTATAAAAACATATATTAATTAATAATTAAAATATCTTAAAATTTAAAATTTACAAGCAACTGCCATCACCGGCCACTTCTTTAATATTTTTATTATTTTTAAAAAAATGTGATTGAATTATAACTCTATAAAAATGTCAACCTGCGACAAAACCCAACTTAAATTAGATTGAATGATCAGATTATCAAATCATATAAATACTCTTAATTAATCATTCATTCAAGTATTTAGTAGAATAATAATAAATGATAAAAGAGTATTATACATTCAATATAGTCGCAATATCTTCCAAGATAAAAGGAAAAAAGCAATTATAAAAACGTTAAAATTGAAAAAAGAAGAATAATTGAAACATTGATTCTTGAGAAAGTGGATGCGATGGTTATCGCAAGCAACAAATAAGCATCATCAAGTAAGAGAAATAAACTCTCACTCAACTGGAAGAAAATCAAGAAGCTGCCCTTGTTGAATGTACAGAAAGAACAATGATCCTTTGAATAATAAATAATACATCAATATAACCTATGAACATAGATTGAATAAACAAAACAACGAATTTCTAAATAGTAAATAGCGCCCCCATATGAATTATACTATTACACCTACTCTATGTATATGAATAATAATATTACACCTGATCTATGTATATGAATGAATTGAAGAAGCCATACCAGTTAAAACAATCAGAGATATAAATAAGTTGCAGTGTCAGTGGCATTTGCCGAGTCCCTGCTGAGAATTGATCGAGCTTCAACTACTGAACGAGGAGGCTCAATATCTTTTTCTTGCACTGCGTTTCCTTGTAATCGCTGCATTTGGGAAGCAAATGTATCATCCAATATCTACACAGTAAAGGATCGAACCATTGTGAGCTCATGATGATGAATTATGACATGCAGCAATATAACAATATAACCGTTGCCCACCGCTAGCAGATATTGTCCTCTTTGGACTTTCCCTTTCGAACTTCCCCTCAAGTTTTTAAAACGTGTCTGTTAGGGAGAGGTTTCCACACCAAGGGAGAGGTTTTTACACCTTTGTAAGGAATGTTTAGTTCTTCTTTCCAACCAACGTGGGATCTCACAATCCACCCTACCCTCTTTGGGGTCTCAGTGGGATCTCACAATCCACTCTCCTTGGGATCACAGCATTCATGCCGGCCGATTGGTGTCTGACTATAATACCATTCGTAACAGCCCAAGCCTACTGCCAGTAAATATTGTCCTCTTTGGGCTTTCCTTTGGGGCTTCCCTCAAGGTTTTTAAAATGAGAGATTTTCACATCTTTACAAGGAATGTTTACTTCTTCTCTCCAACCAACGTCAGATCTCACAATAAAAATCCTCTGAGAAAAGAGCATTCTTTTGCTTAAAGAATAAAGAATCATGTGGGTGCATTGAAATTTACCCCCAGAGCGTAATATGATCCGTTGTACCATACTCTGTTTTCTTTCCTGCCTTCGAGAAATTTCAAGACGATCTGTTCCAAAATAGCGTGGCTGCCTGTTAGAATGATCTAAATGGGCGGTGGATGGAGGACTATGAGGAAAATTAATGTATTCTCTTGAGTTTACCTGTCCCATACTGTCCCAGAACCCCCGACATATTGCAACAAATATAGGACCTGTAAAGACTTCGTGCAAGTTCGATATGGAATCAATGAGTTGTGCACTTAGCATCTGCATTCTTTCACGAACTTCGTGCTCCCCTTCTTCTTCCCTAGTTCCCTCCAAAATCCTTTTCAGCCTTGTATTACGGTTGGCTTGCATCTGATGGTGAATTCAAAATCATTAATTTTGCAGAATTAAAAATTGTTCCTTCGAACTTAGCTCAAAATGCCGAGGAAGAAAGTTGAAAAATCAGAATAAATTGTATATCATGAGAGAATTATGAAGTGATGTAAGCTTACATTGCACATGAGCTTCCCTACAATTGCTTGCAAGTAGTTTTTGTACTTCGTTCTCAAAAGGACCGTGATTCCATTCATCTGCTCTCCAAACAGTGACCTCTTGTCTCCCACAACAGGCGTATAGGATGCCCACGACTTCAAGATACCTTCAACTCTAATGTGTAAGACATCTAGAATTCTCTTGATGGTATTGAGGAACATTCCCAGCTGTTCAATAATCGTTTCCAAATCGTGAAACATGAAAATATTAAAAATAAGAAAGAAAGGTTAAAATACAAATTTAGTTCCTATGATCGTGATTTTGAGATAGAATTTATTCCTTGTAGTTTTAAAGGCTAGAAACTAGTTCCTGTAGTTTTAAATGCTAATCAGTTATTATGGTTTGATAAAACTTTCATAACTAGTCTCTACCTCAAGTATTATATAGAGTTTTATTAGTTTTAAAATTAATGGAGCCAAATTCTAAGCAAACAAATTTATAATTTAACCACCCAAAAAAAAAAAAAAAAATCAAACTGCAAGTATGATCCAGATATTGCAAAAGTAAATAACGAAATACATGGGGTACAAGGGAAAGACTTACATGATTAGGAACGGAGTACATTGCCATTGACTGTCTTCCTGTTAGCTTCTGAACGTGCATGTTCAGCCTCTTTGGGATGGTATCTTTCAGAGGTGTCAATATATCGTTGTACTGTTTTTCAAGTGCTTTTACTATTGCTCTCTCGACATTTGCAACAGCCTATATAGAACGAGCAAGAGCAGTAAATGTGAAAGAGTATACAGAAAAATAATAGGGAACTGAGAATGCTATAAGGTTGAGCATTGACTCCAATGTCATTATGAGTAAGCGTAGATTACAAATGAAATGGCAGAACGATGGTGACCTCTGATGTGATAACAACGATATTTAGAGTCTTACATGTTCTAAAATCAATGAATATTGAGGCCATCGATTGATCACTACTTCATATTGAACGAGGGAGTCCTTTATTTTCTCGTACATCTCCTCAGCAAAGGGTGAAGTAGAATAATTTGTTGTTACACCAGACCACGGCATCTGTGTTTGTTCAATCGAGAAAATTCGCTTAGAGGCTGATCAACAACTTTTTAGAAAGAATGAATGAGCTGCAATTCTGCTTCATAAAGAGATGGTAGTGATAGAGATCGAACCTTTTCTGCTTTACATATATCCAGCAAAGTTATTTGCATATCCTGTACCCACACCATTATATAGTTATGGAAAAGATTTCTCGAGTCTACGCTACCCTGCACAGAACTGAAGGATTCCTAATGTCAGAAAAAAATCAATTTTCTAACACAATCATCTCATTTTTCCAAACGTACAATGATTTTCAACAGACCTGATATTCCATGATTCAAGGCTTCTTTCGAAATCAGCAGTAGCTACTAAAAGCTCATTTACGAAAGGCAATGGACCAGATGGAGGCCATGCAGAGAGGAATCCTCTAAGCCTGTTGAACAACTCGGTGCTGTAAACGGCGGCGGTGATGTTTGACAAGTCAATCGAACTGAGACAAAATGGTAGCATGAGTCAAGATCTATTCTAAGCACATCCAATCCAAAAATTGTATTTCAATTCTCTATATCCATACTACTAAAAGTACAGTAACAACCATCCTGGTGAAGTTCGTTCAACTTCGTAAAACCTGTGGATTTCATTAATAACTTCCTCTAGCTCGGATATATAACATACCTTGGTAGTATATGCTGATTATGAATTTTGATATCAGCCTGAATCTCACCACCTATATTTTTACATAGCTGTTTCATCTTCAAATATGCCGTGGAGATGGTAATTGGATCCATGGAAAGACCTTCAGCGTTTCCCGAGACAAACTCATCAGTCTCAACCATATGCTTTCGACACCGCTTTTTCGCCGCTCTCTGCAATCATGAGTGCAATATTTGGCTTATTCGTGTAATCAGATAAATCGGAGTAGGAAAATCATCGCTTGTCCAAAATCTCAAGAAAATATAGTTCTATGTGAGCTCAAAAACGGATGATGGCTCACCTGAAAATAGTTTCTCAGCATATTCTGGGCATCTTGAGAAAGTATATCGTGAAGCTGAGTGTAGATTTTCACTGCTGGAGTTAGAGCAGATGCTGCAGAGTCTTCTGCGGGATGACCAAGTAAATCTGCCAATCCCGTAGGGGAGTTTTCATCTAATGACTTGTAGTTCTCAAAAACATTTGCCAACAGGTTCTCAATTTGAGTTTCACAATCCAGTAATATACTTCTCTGGCAAAGAGAATGTACTAATTAGAACCAAGATGCATCATTGGAGCCCCAAATAAGTTTTAATGGCTATTCCTCAAAAGAATAAAGAATTTATTGAGCCTCTAGAGAATATACCATATTGGAGAAGAAAATAGAAAATGGTTGTGTTTGCTTAGTAAGTGATCGTGAAGCCTGTCTATAGGTGAGAATCTATTTCTCTCAAAGCTTCATTTTGAGTAATTTTATGATCTTCTTTAATACATTTTACTAGCTACACTTCTACAAATTACAAACCAAGCTGTGCAAAAATAGTCTCGCCTCTGCTTGAGCCTCCAACGATAAAGGTACATGAACAGCCATTTGATCCCCATCAAAGTCTGCATTAAGTAATCTATTCCTTAAAATTTTCAATTTTCACAAATTCATACAAATTCACACCAAAATTCACACTCATTTTTCTACGAGCCAGAGATGCATCTACTAGGGAGAGGTTTCCACACCCTTATAAGGAATGTTTTGTTTCCCTCTCCAACCAATGTGGGATCTCACAATCCACCCCTTGAGGCCGAGCGTCCTCGCTAGCACACCGTCCGGTGTCTGGATCTGATACTATTTGTAAAGCCCAAGCCCACTGCTAGTTGATATTATCTCATTTGACCCATTATGTATCGCCATCAGCCTCACAGTTTTAAAACGTGTCTACTATGGAGAGGTTTCCGCATCTTTATCAGGAATGCTTCGTTTCCTCTCCAACCAACATGGGATCTCACAGTAGCCCTCATTTTCAGGAGACTCTGGCTATCGTGATTACTCTTATTTGGGTAGCGATATATGGATAAACTTACCTCTTGCCGAGTCAAACTTTTCTCGTTTTTGGCCTTCATTATGGGATCAAGTAATTCATTTACAAGCTCTAAGCAATCTTTAGTTGGAGTAGCCACACTCATGACATGAGAAAGATATCTGATCATAGGGAAGAACTAAAGCAAGTCAAAACACAACAAATGGATTTGCAAGAATATGAATCATTGATGTTCTTCAACTCGCTACACTCTACATATCCGTAATGTCTGTAATACCTGATTCTTGTATATGAGTCAGAAACTCCATAATAGTCTGCAAATTCAGTCAACAACCACTTCCAAAGTCCATCAATCCTTAGATTTCTGGAAGAGAAGTGTTGTGCACGCATTGCAGCCTCTAGCACTAAATCATAGGCAAGAGTTTCCACAACAGGTCCACTCTGTTACGTACGGAACACAAAGGATCAATTAAACCAGCCACCATCTATCTTTTTATCCAAAAACAAATCCCATAATGTAAGGATATGTCCATTAATTTGATACAAAAAAATAATGACTTAAAAATACCTTCATATGATTAGTCTCGTCACTTGTCATTGTATGGACGATAGAAAGCTGAATTTTCCCAACACATTCCTGATCATCATGGTATATAGGCCACCACCGAATCCTATCATTCTGCAAATAAGGGGGGAAAAACTCACTTCAACTATTGATTGGTAACATGCAAAAAATAAAAAATAAAATAATCTTAACGAAAATATAATACTTACGGTGTTACCGATCAAAGATGAAACTGAAATCGTAGTTCGACCTTGGGTAGTTTTTTTGACATCCTGGATTTCTAGTAAAAGGGTATCTCCTGGAGCCTCTGGGAAACTGAAGTCACAATTGCATCATATTCGTGTTCATAACTTACATCTACTAGAAAGAGTAGAATCCTCTCCTTAAGTGGATTGATCTTAATATTAATTCAGAGAAAAGAACATAATATCTTGAGAGCGATGGTTCATACGTGCTCTCTTACATAACAGGTTATGGGTAAAAAATAAATAGTAAAAAACAAAGATCAGAACTTACAAGACATGGTAGTCTCCACTGCCAGGGTGCAAGCAAACAGCAGAATCAGACTCCAGGTCAGAGCCTTCTGTAGCACTCTTCAATTGAAATAAGCACGATAATTGTTCTGCAAAGCAAATGTCACTTTTCCACTATTGAACTGCAAAATGTTCGAAACGCTTTTTCTTGTTTTTGCTTGCATGTTATGCTATCTGAAAGGCACGTTTTTTATTTTATCTTTCGGAAATTACTTGGTGCAAATATTTAAAAGAACCTATCATTTCCTTAACTTGGTGAAAGATTAATCATGTGGATTACCAGGAGCAAAAATAAATTCGGTACAAACTAAACCTTCTGATGTAATTGAGAATGAAGCGTCTTTTAGAGAGTTTATGCCATTTTTCACGACAGTAGAAATATTCCGAATATACTCCACTCCTGTTTGCATATAGATTGAGCCTCTTTGCGAATAGGTATTTATCACTTTCCTCTTTGGAATCAGTCTAAGCTTTTTCACTGCCATCAAAAAATATATCTTGGTCAATCAATGTCGCAACAAAATCTGAAAAGGAGAAAAGTTGTTTCAGTTCTAAGACTAGAGAGAGAGAACCGGCATAGAATTGGTTGTCCTGTGAATTGGAATATGGAAAGAAGAGTCCTCACATGGAAGCAGATTTGTTCATTTTAATAGAATGTTTGACAATGGACATACATACTCAAGTAACCCCCTAGGAAGCTCCTTTGGACAGGGAATTAAACCGAATATATTGTTCAAATAATGGTGAAATCTTCTGAAGAGAATCTGTACCTTCCACTCTTATCTTTCCGACAACTTTCTTCTGGTTCGAAGTTACTACTTGTGCTGAATGCTCAGTGTTTCTCCCCCTTTCGGTCGGTTGTGCGAGCCGAGGTTGCAATAAAAATTTGTGTAGTCTACATAATTGTCAATTCATAGAGAGAACCCATAAGAGATCCAATAAAATCTACCATAAACTTTAAACATGAACAATGTTTAGTCAAAAAGCACAAGAAAGAGGATCTGTACCCAAAAGCATTTCGAAGAATCAAGCACCCATTGCGTAAAAATTCAGGTGAGTATGTGCAGCCTCTTTCCCATGCTTGTAGGCACAACCGAACACAAGCATCATATGCAAGTAGAGTTTGCCAGGCTTGTTGACCACTGCAATTACGGAACTCAAAATGGACAAGAATGGTAAAGATCAGTAATAACCAAAAGTACCTTGAATCAAAATTATAGAAACAACTAATAAATAACTACTTAATTCAATAAAAACCTTGTGTTGTAACAGGATGAAGGTTCTGGATAGTTTGCTTGCAGATGAGAGATATAAGAATCTTTAGTTCCTGTTGAAGTTCTGTTCACCCAAAGAATATAATTAAGATCACAAGAAAAAATTCAAAGCTTCTTTCATGTTAAAGCAGTCCACTGAAAACCACTGAACCTTTCAAAATTTTGGGTGATTCCCGGAGAATAAGCTTTCCAATCTGCATTACATCCATCAAAACCCTCTGTCGCCGGCAATGGGCACCCATTGTCAATTTGATCGACTTCACTTGAACCTTCAGAATCTGATCTAGTTTGACTTCCACATTCTGTGCTCGTGGTTTCACCCCCTCCAACATCACCAATGGGAGGTGCACTGGGGGTTCCGGCCAAATCCTCAAAAAACCTTCCATGGACACCGGGACCCTGCAACAATCAACTCAGTTCAGCTTGAAAATGATAACAGAGAAAATTTGCAGCATATAATGAGAATTATAAAGGATTTGAAGGTCTTACACGAGCACTGTGAAAGTAGACTTCATGCTGGCGCTGATTTCCATAATTAGGAGTAGAAGATTTTTGGGGCAAATTCCTTACACCCAACTTCCCATCAGGAAATCTACTTAAATTAACAGGCACTTCAACCCTGAGATCTTCCTTCAAGTACCGTCGATTAATAGAAGATATACATCGAGTTCCAGATACGGGATTAACCCTAGACTGGTAGCTAAATACATCTTCCTCAATACCCTGCACGACAGGCTTCTCCAAGAAATCCGAATCATGAAATTCCATATCATCATCTTCAGAATAAGCACCATCATCCTCTTCAAACGGAACCGAAGCAATACTTTCATTAACATCAAAATCTCCATCATCGTCATCATCGTCATCCAGGCATGGAGATGCCAAACTATGAGGAGAAAGCAATCCAGAATGGAATTTCAAAGGAGGCAAAACATGAGAAGACATGAATCCAGTGCCATTAAACGCCAACGGAGATTTCGGAAATAGATCGGAGCCGGTTTTCTCGGCAAGAGGAGATCGAATTCTAGTTTCGTCTTCCACAGTTCTATCCGTCCCCTAAGGGGAAACAGCGACGAGATACAAAAATGAATCGAATACTACAAATGAAAAACAGAATGAACTGAATCAAACTGGAGAGAATACCTTTTTAATCCAGGAAATTGCAGTTTCATCGAGGCCATCTGTGAACATCTTGCTCGATGATGAAACCTCAAGCGGAAAGAAGCTTCTGGTACACAAGAGTGAGAGTAGGTGAAAGAGCTGCAAGAGAAGAAGCTAGAAGAGATGAAATGGAGAAGCTCGAAGGTACAGAACAGAGTGGAAGAAAACGATGGTGAAGAAGAAGAAGAAGAAGGAACGCGACAGGGCGGTTAGTTCAGTGCGCCTTTTTTGCCAACGGCTAGTTTCTGGAGTTCATTTAATATATTTTTTTAATATTACAAAAATTCTTTCTTATTTTATTTTAAATATCATATTGGTTACTGTGCCTTCAATTTTGTCAAGTATTTATACTTTCATTTAATTTAACGGTTAATAAAAAAAATTTAGAAATAAAATATATAATTTCAAATTTGTAAAAAAAAAAAAATGAATATAACTAAATTTAAACATTTAATAATACTCACTAAATTATAAGATTAATAATCTTATAATTATTTATTCAAATTGAAATGATACTATATTTATTTCATATGTTGGGTGGATTTTGGTATATTTATTTCATACTTTAGGTATTCAAATTTAATATGTGTCACATAGTTTTGGACTATATTATTGTGTATGTATATACATTTAAACCTACATCATATGCTAGATTTTATTAATTTAATAATATCATTTATATTGAATACAGATTTGAAGTAATTAAATATACAAAGTGTACATGAAATAAATAAGATATACAAAACATAGTATGTATGCTTATTATGATTAATTATATTAATTTAATAATGTCACTTAAATTATTTATAGTATGTGCTTAAAATGCATTATTTTGAGGCAACCTAAAATATGAAAATTTTGGGATTTGGATATTTAATGTAATTTCAAATTATAGAGTTGTAGCATATTTAAAATTAATTCAAATATTGATATGTAATTATTACTAAAATCATTTACTTTTAATGAATAATCTCATTATTCGAAAAAAGAAAAAAAAATGAAATGCAACGACTTCTGCAAATAAATTAAAATATAATATAAATATAGTTTAAAGTCGGTAATAAAATTGACAAAATTGACCAAGATAATAAATAAATTCTTCCATTTCTAAATAATTACACCAAGTAAATTAAAATTATCTAATTTTCATAATACACAAGCCTTCACTGCATTTTCTCATATTCATATATGAACTTAACAATTTCATATATGAACTTAACGATAATAGGCAAGCCTTTACTACCTATTCTCAAATGTCATATACGAACATAACGATATAATATCCATATCCAAGCCTTCACTGCATTTTCTCAGACATCATATACGAACTTAACGATATAACAAACAAGCGTTCACTGCAATTTCTCAGATGTCATATACGAACTTTACGATATAACAAGCAAGCGTTCACTGCAATTTCTCAGATGTCATATACGAACTTTACGATATAACAAGCAAGCGTTCACTGCAATTTCTCAGATGTCATATACGAACTTTACGATATAACAAGAAAGCGTTCACTGCAATTTCTCAGATGTCATATACGAACTTAACGATATACTATGCAATCCTTCATTGCATTTTCTCAAATGTCATATAAGAACTTAACGACTTGCACGTATAGATAAGAAATCAATAATGTCAAAAATATCAAAGGAGAAAGCAAATACAATGAAATGGTATACAAGAATGGAAAAGGTAAAACAATGGTAACAACTTTCAAGTTTCTACTAACAATTTGGTTGGATAGAAGCACTCCATCAAAAATAGATCAATAGCATTAAAAACCCAAGAACATCCCATTTTTTTGGATTTGGTATTGGTGGAGGGCAGATCTTTGCATTCTAAACATAGGTTGGGATTCATAAAACTAGAAATAACTATCCCATCATCTCACTTCACTTCATATAATGTAATGGCTCCAAAGACAAAAAAAAAAAAAAAAAAAAAAAAAAAAAAAAAAAAAAAAAAAAAAAAAAAAAAAAAAAAAAAA